GATGTAGACAAGCACAGTTTACAGGGGCATTGACCTGAAAGATCTTCTGGCAATGTAAGTTATGTGCTCTGTAGATGGATTTAAAAAAAGATAGGACACATTTATGATTATTTCCTGTAAAGTTAAAGCCGCTTTAGCAGACACCATATGTACAAAAATGCCTTACTTCAAGGGCAAGATCATGCGGATATCATGCTGATTTAAGAGGGGATAAATAGAAACAAGTCAGCAAATTCTTGAGAGTTATCAGGCGACTAATAAGAGAGATTAAAAAAATATCTCACAAATTAGGGAACTTGTGTTTACTTTGGGAATGCAGTCTTCATCTTCACCACTTCAAAACTAGAACAGTTACTAAAATCTTCAGCAGATTTGTCTGAAACCTTTATTTCTTATAATTTGACCTTTTTTGCATTTATTATTATTTCAATTTTTTAAATAAATCTATTCAAAATCAATTTGACGTCAATGTCGACGTCCCGTCTCCCTTTAAGCTAAAGCTAGGGTAATAATTTCCAAAGCTCTTTGGAAGCATATAGGGACGTTATATAATGTGACAGGTGCTATAAAAGAACTGAACAATATCATAAAGGGACATGAACGCTACGTCAGGGATCCAACCCACCTGAGGTCCCATATCCTTGCAGTGCAGTCCTCTCCTCCAGTGAACATCCATTTACCCTCCTCCTGGAACCCTACCGATGTCACGTTCTTAGGGATGCCCTCATAGTTGATGATCGGTGTCGTGTCCCCAGAGTTGATATCGTACATGCGGATATGCTGGTAACCTGAAAACAAGTTTAAAAATAATATGATGGTACGGCGTAAATATTCATTAATGAATGATACACGCTAATAAAACTAAAACAACTACAACAACATACACTCATTTTCAAATGAATATCAGATTATCAGCTACAATATATGATAAAGTCCTCTGATACAGGTCTATTATGTAGTTAAATTCATTTTCAAATAAGGGTGAATTTTGAGTGACTTTAGATGCATCTGATCTTTCACAAAGATGGCCGTGGAATTTAACTTGTAAAGAAGTAACATAGGCCTACAACATAACCACAACTGCCACAGGAGAGAGATGATCATTATACATATCAAATTATCCACTAAACTCATAAACAAATCTCTGGGCTGAAGTATGAATTTCAGCTAAGCTTACATCATGAAATTTGTACCAGGCAAATGGGACATCTATCAAAGTTCATTCAGATACATACGATTTCTAAAATATTAAGCCCCTCCCCCCCCCCCCCCAAAAAAAAAACTGGTTTTGTTTATTAACGAACATGGACTTATTTATATATTCATAAATTTGGGCACTCTGTTTAAAAGGTGACAAACACATTTGCTGACACTGTACTGTCTATTTATTACCATCATACGGATGATTACATTACATGCACATGGAAACAAAAATTGTGGAAATGTACAAAGAGAATAAGAGATATAAAAACTGGAAATCAATTCATAATGGAAATATGAAACCAAAACAATGAATTAAGACTAACCTGCAGCGGCTAATAGACTCCTGTCTGGGGTGATTTCCAAGTGATTGACTTGCTGCAAGTTAGCAAAAAGAAAACAATAATGACTTTAAAGCCCAACTGTACTAGAATCTACTTGCAGCTACTCGCTCCCTCTATCATGTCTATACAGCAACAACACCTAATATAAGCAGTATGCATTGATCCCCCATGAGTTTAACTTTAAAGACAAAGTATGATTGTTGAAACGTGACTTGAATACTTGGTTATAACTTTAAAGGGATCCGGTAACTTTGTCTCAGATTTTGAAATAAAATTCTGGATTTAGCTCATGATGCAATGATAATTATAAACCTTTAGGTCACTCAGGAACCCCATGACTTTTACAAGCCGATCACCTGTCTGATTATCAAGATATTTATGATTGGAATTACAAATTTTGAAAACCGTTCGCCTGACGGTTTTCATAACACTACAGTCTATTGGGGAAAACGAGTATGGTAAAACCGGTCACTCAAAGATTTTTACTTTTTTGAGGCACTTCTTGATCATTTTGAAGCGCAATTTTTTTAGGGCTTCAATATTACACCATATCACAGACACTGATAACACGTAGGGCCGTGTATCTCAGATTTAACACTGTTAACCGATCCCTTTATGTTGACTGACAAATGTAGAGGTCTAACGTTAGATCTACAACAACTAACTACTTTTCACAATGACATCCACATTTTATTAGTCACAGTATTGGTTTGGCATTATATTAGCAGACCCCTTGCTATTTCTCTCTAATTTACAACAATAACATTCTACAAAAATTCCCCTTTTTTCATCACAATTAGACTGCTATTGTGCTAGACTCTAGATCTAGATCTAAGTTAGAAAAGTGTTTTGAACATTCATCATGACAAAAGACTAAACAAGAGTAGACTATTATTTGTTATTTAATAATGAGCATGACTGTGCCAACACACATTGGCATTGTCATTGCGTCACCCCTCCCCCCTCCCCCCTAGAGTCCTCTCTGTATTTAGTGACCGACTATAACCTTAATAAAACGTCCCATACAAATCGTACACAACAATGCAATTTGTAAAAAAAAAATACTGACCGATTCTTGATGCTGGACAGTGCGGTGGCAGATACCCGTATGTGCGTGCCAGAAACGAATGGTTTGGTCATAGCCAGCAGTAGCAAGGATAATTTGATCGCTAGGATTTCCCATTATTGTGCAAAAGCCGGCAAATTAAGAAACTCCAAATCTATATCTAGGCCCTAGTCTAGACAGATTGTAAAGCTCTGCTCTGTTGTTGTTTGTTTTGTTAAACTTCCGGGTGGGGGATTCATTTTTGATGCAACATAACCCTTCTCGTTAAAGTTGAATGGTTCCTGCCGTGCATTGTTGGTGATATAAAATGAGCACCAGTCTTTTGTTTGTAAACATTTTTGCACGCGCTGTGGATCCTTGAGACCCGACGTACTGGCTCGCGCTCGCGATCTGTATGAAGCTCGATAGCTGACGGTGCAGCATCTAATGGCGGTCCACTCCTTTATGTTGTGAAAAAGCAACGCAGTAGTAGTCGGCAAAGATTATTAACGGGTAAGTTTTGCCATCATGTATGAAAAGCATGACTCCATGAGCTGGACGCGACAATCTGAGCTCTTTCACTCAGCCTCTCACTGCACTCTCAGTCTCAATATCAACTATCATTCATATTCATGGCCTCAGCTTTGAAAAGGAGTCCAGGGCCTGCTCTGATTCTGACTCGACTCTGAGCTGTGGAGGGAGGGATGACATCTTTCATCCGGGCGCTGAGATCGGAGCGCAGCACACGACATCGACGCGACATCACTACCAAACCACGTGTTGTAATTAGGTCTATAACTCTGAACTAAATCGACTGTTCATGCTGCAGTCGTATGATCTATTTTGTTTTCTTTTGACTGTGTTGATGTTGTTTGTCTTGGGTTGTGTTTGGTTGCTTAATTTGATTGTTTCAAAAGTTTTTGTCTGGTTGGACTTGGGAGGATATTTCCTCCAAATCTTGCTCTCCGCGGAAACGTCAAGCCCATCCCACGCCAAGCCCAATTGCTTACCAATTTATTGAACTTTAATTTCTATCATATCTGTGTAGACTACGTAGACGGTGACCCACATCACTTTTCTTCAAATTTGTGTCAAAATGCAACAAATAAGATGAGGCCTTCTCAACTAGATCTAGTTTATTAGAAGTGCCAAAACAAAAATTTATTGAGGTTGAAGTGCCAACCTGTATTTTTGGTGACTGTTAATTGCGAGGGAGCGTAGCGACCGAGCCAATACTGGGTGGGGTCCAGGGGGCGAAGCGAAGCCCCTGGAAGCTAGCGGATTTTAGGGCTTTTTTAAGTCCCAAATGTGGCATTTTCAGACCTGCCAACCAGTACGATTTAGTCGTATTTAGTACGATTTTTAGAAGCAAATACGACAGTACGATTTTCCTCAGTAAAATACGACTTTCAAAAAAAAAAAAAAAAAAAAGATTTTTATTTAGATCTATTTATTTATTTTTTTAAATATTTTGTTATTGGTATTTTGTGTGTGTGTGTGCCATTTTCAATGGCAAAATGCCCATTCTGTCCTATAAAGTATCCTACAAGCATCTCACATCGGCAATTTGAGGATGTTCATTGGTTCATCGAACACACCAGTCGTGACAAAATCATGCATATTTAATCAACGATCCTTAAAAAAAATTCTTTCTGTATGTAGGAACTGTAAGAGGCATTGATCCGCGTAACAGTCCGTGTTCATTTTTAAGAATACAACTTTTGTCAGTAAAATACAACTTTTGGGATTAAAGAATACAGTTTTTGAATTCCAGAGGTTGGCAGGTCTGCATTTTTAACACCTTTTTGTTCCACAAAACATCAATCATAATTTCATATTGATGTGCAATAATTAGTACAATTCCTGGCTAAAATCTACACTGGAAGTTAATTTATATGCAGTTATTTTCATGCAATAAACAAGGAAAATGTCAAAATCAAGTGAAAATCAAACAAACAAAATGGTTTGCTTACATTTTGGGCTCAACTTCGACTGCGACTTTTTTAATTTTAAAATATATTTTTGATATTTTAAAATATAATTTTTTAATTTTTTCTTTCTCTCATTTTTATTTTTTATTTATTTTTTATTATTTTTTTGGAACAGCCGTGCGCCGCCAGTTGAGAAGGCCTGCCCAGACCCTTAAGTTTTGCAGATATATTTTTTACACAACCCTTTGTGGAACAGTACTCCTTCATCCGCAACAGAGAAATAAAAATTCATTACAAAAATTCAGGAGAAGTGTTCGAAAGATTCATAGATTTGTAACTTAACAAAATCTAGATTTCAAGTTGGAAAATTGATCATAGACCTATTTCTTATTTGTTAAAATTTGATTCACTGAACTGTCATTTCTCTTGTTTTTCTGCTTGAATTGGTAGGTATTTGCAAGGTAGGAGTACCGGTAATACTAATAGCTACTGGAGATTCAGAATTGATACAAGATGGCCTCACAGAATATCACATACGGAGTGCCGTCTCAGGCCCTCCCAATGCCGAATAAATACCACAGGTAAGTGAGATGTGCAACTAAGTGGTGACTGACAGATTTGTTGGGAATTCATATCGGCATTGCAGAAGGAGGTTGAGGATAGTGATGATGATGGTGATTGTGATGGTGAAGGAGGTGGTGATGATGATGGTGATGATGAAATTGATCATGGTGGTGATGATGATAGTGGTGGTGGTGATGATGGTAATAATAGTGATGATGATGGTTATAATAATACTGGTAATAATATCAAGGTGATGGTGATTGATATGATGATGATACTTGAAATAAGTGCTATACCAGACTCTACTTATATATTATTATTATTAATATGTCATTTAGACTTGTTCACTTGGATCTGAAAGGAGCTCCACCAAAGATGGATTATCTTTTGAAGGTGGGTGAATCAGGTCTTCATTTGTGGATTTAAACACTATGGGCACTCTGTTTATCTGCTTCCCCTAACTTGCCACTACTGTTGTTCCAAAGAATTGTTTGAATTATAAAGTGTCCTCCAAATTAATAAAACAGTACCCCCAAAAAAGAAAGTAGTGCACAGTACCCCTTTTCCGATAATCATGACAAGTCATGAAACACAAAATAGCCTTTTATCTTGACCCGAACTTGACCTTCAATTCAGTACCTTTTAGGAGCAAACCTATAATAGAGCACCCTGCCAAAAAGAAAACATTAACATTCTGAGTGAATTTTTTGCATGTCAGAGGGTTAGTATAGTAGAAGGAATATAGTAAGTAACATTTTATACAAAATTAAGCAATTTTTTTCATCAACCTTCAACAATGTTACCGAGTCACTTTAAAGAATATTGATACTCAAGTATTACTGGGACACACTCGTGTGAGGCCACTCTCTTTGTAAAGATAAAGTTGAGTTCTGGTCATGCTAATCGTGGAATAAACTGTGTGGAATTTGTGGAAGCTTGATCATAAGTTTTGGTTTATACTGTGATGTAGAATCATTATGGTGTAGATTCATAACATTTAACTATTACATATTGTCTTATTCTGAAAATAAGGGAATTTGGGCAGCCATTTTTTTCTATTGTACTCTTCCACACTTACATGGTAGTGTTTTAACATTCTCTCTCTCTCTCTCTCTCTCTCTCTCTCTCTCTTTCCCTCGATCTGTCTATCTCACAACCACACAACTTCCCCCTCCCACATATAAACATCTGACCACAAATCCTTGGGTTAGGATTGATGCTCCCACCCAAGCCGTAAAAACATGATACTTAGCTCGGTCATAAATCTAAGCATGCAGACATGCAGTCTAGCCTTTTTGTCTCATGGTCAGATTCAGTAAATGCCTCTTTGTTCTTCCTATTCTCATCGGGCACATTTTCCTCCTTGGGACTCTCAACTTTTTCTTGCTGCTCTGTACGATCTGACATACAGTATTTGTACAATAAATAATCAGAATTTTAAAGGCAGGCTTTACTACTTCAGCTATAAGGGATTAGACCACCCAGCGAGCCAGCGAGGTCACTGTGACAGGTGGCTATCTCATTAACTCAGCTCTCATTTAACATTAGAAAAAGAGGATCATGGGGGACCAACAGGCACCGATTGGGGAAGTTTTATATATAGAGGAAGCAAGTAGCTACATGTAGGACAGTGGGCCTTTAACTTTATAAACGAGTCAAACGACATTGTGTTATTTTATTATTTTTTCACCTACTCCTGTCATTAATTTAATCGTAACAGGGTTGTAAGTACAATAATCAGCACATTCATTTCTACTGTTTCTACTTCCTAGATTAACAAAGCATAAAAAGAATGAAAAAGCTCACAAATTATTTGTCACCTTTCCAAAAACTCAACCATCTCTGTAATCTGTGTTTGGTATGAACAGGTATTACCCCTGTTCAAGGAATGGGGTGCCACAGGGCTTCTGGTGGAGTATGAGGACACCTTCCCATACTCAGGAGAGCTAGAGGTACTCCAGAAAGGTGAGGAGGTTTACAGGTAGGTCATGAACTTTGAACCCTGACCTTTGAACCTTGGATCATCTGCTGAAATGCTACCTAAGCTATAAGCTAACGTATGAAATGTCTTCTTGATTTTGAAGAAACCAATTTTCTGTATACCATGTAAGAATGGTATGGAAATTTGATTATTTTAGAGTATTATTATATCTTATTTGTCTTCTTGTGTGTAATCAAATGAATCTGTGTAGAAGAGAGTCTTGATTTTTATGAATGGTCCTGTAATTTCCTTGATATGTTAATAATGTTACTCCTACACACATGGTTTTAACCTGAATAATACATTTTTTTAAATGAAATAAGGAAATAAGGAAATAATAGAGATTTGATAAGCCTAATTATTCGAGTTTGGTTAACAATCGCTTCTGAATGCTATTTTGTTTACTATATTCCCTTCATTCCTCGCTCCCACCCTCTCTCTCTCTCTCTCTCTCTCTCTCACTGAATACCTGTGTTTTTAGCCTTAGAATACCTAAAAAGTATTTGAAAGTTGACATTCACTTCGTAATTATATTCTCAATTACAGTTTGGCAAATGTAGCCACTCTCCAACAAACAGCTAGAAATCTTAGTCTGGAATACATTCCTCTTATTCAGACATTTGGTCATTTAGAGGTAGGTCTAACATTCATTTTTTATTTTATAGAATATCTTCCCATGAAATCCTACAAAGAACACGGTATTACTTTATCTAATCATCTCTCTCTCCCTCTCTCTATTTCTCTCTCTCTCTCTCTCTCTCTCTCTCTCTTTCTCTCTATTTCTCTCTCTCTGTCTCTGTCTCTGTCTTCATCATTCTGTCATCATAAGTGCATTTGTAATGGATAATTTAGTTGCTCTAATTGTAAGAAAAAACTTTTAGATCTTCAGTTCATCTCTTGTTCCAATGAGATTTGGTTGTCATTGTCTTCACTAACTGATTTATGCAAATACTGAAAGCAGTACATGTATCTCAAGTTCTCAACGTTTGAAGTATGTGATATGCTGCTTTACCCTCTGCAATGATGTAACTCTAGTAGGCCATGATACAATGTATAAACAATACATCCATATTGCACAGGAGAAACCGTTCACACCTAAATACTGGAATTCGTACAAATCTGAAGATGTAACAGTGACGTAGCTCATAAAACCTTACACGTTGTTACATGTATTTGACACAGTGATTTCAATAAAACACTGTGACCATTCATCTGTGTAAATGTGATTACCGCTAGTCAATACATTTTGTTCCTTTCTTGTCAATTTGTTTAAGACAAGTGCAAGTGCTATGTCAGTAGGCTCTTCCAGTCAATTTTTGTGTGAATGTTGAAAAAATACAATGTGAAATCTTCTAAAGATTGTAAGATATAGAATTTATATCAAATTCTTGTTTCATGTTTATGGCAAGTTATTGGGAAATATTTGTAAAAAAAAGGGATTAAAATGCAATTGATCAAGGCCCTGTCATATAACAGTTGGAATTGATTCAAATCAAAAGGCAATTTACGTAATGTAACCAAATTTAATACATTAGTCTTTGTGGAGTGCCTCAATACAAAGTATTTCATTCACCTGATAAGAATCATGGTATTTCAATAGTCAGAATGCAAACTGCATATATTATGTGTTGCTAGGTAGGTCAAGCCATAATGTTTGTCCCACCTGGCAACAACTAATGTATGCAGCTTGGATTCCGTCCATTGAAATACTATTAGTCTTTAACTTATCAGGTGAATGAAATAGTTTGTATCGAGGCACTTCACAAAGACGTATGCATTAAATTTGGTGACATTACGAAAAAAGCCTATTGTAACTTTACTGAAGAAATGGTGAGTTTGCAGTTGATTGGAAGACTTTCAATGAATTTGGATCAGTTGCAACCCTTTATAACATACCACTATGATCATGACGGACAGAGAAAGCGGACAAAATGTATAGTTCCTCAGGTAGACAAGGAACATTTCTTCACTGCTATTATGTAAAAATGTGTAGAACAGGTGAATATGCATGTGACACCTGTTCTACACATTTTTACATAATAGCAGTGAAGGGATGTTCCTTTTTCTACCTGTGGAACTATATATTTTGTCCGCTTTCTTTGTCCGCTTTCTTTGTCAGTCATGTTCATAGTGTTTGTAAGCCCTTCGTTAGCTGTGAGGTTTTAAAGAGTGTTTCTGTTTGGCTTTCAGTTTGTGTTGAAGCATTCACAGTTCAGTCATCTGAGAGAAGACCCAGAGGACAGGAGGAGTTTATGCCCATCTAATCCTGGTAGGTCTTTCACATTTTAAAACTTTGTCCAGACGTCCACATTAGGTATGTCTTCATCAGCTCGAGATTGCCAAATAGCCCGCTATTTCCGATTTGGGAAATAAGCCAGTAGTTACAAATCTCGTCTTTATCAGCTAGAGACTCGACCTCCAAACTAGAGCTTATTTCTCAATATTTGCTCAGCGTTCGCGCATAGTGCGAGTCTTCAGGCTGGTGAAGACGCACCAGACAAATAGCAGGATATTTTGCAAACTAGCCCAAGATATCTTGGGATGATTACCTTGACCAAATATCCCGCTAATCTCAACTGCGGGCTGATGAAGACGCAAATTAGCTGGATAATTTGAGATCGAGATAGTTAAAATAGCGGGTTATTTGGCAATCTCGAGCTGATGAAGACAGGCGGAGTGTTGTTGGATGTTGATGTAGTTCTGTCTTGGGGCGATTGCCCTTCATCTGAGTTTTCAATTTCAATTTCTATACAACAAACATAATTTATTATCATTGTATGTGTGGGTGAATTATCTGCACTTAAAATGCTCAGATAAGATGCTAGGATAAGCGGAGGAATAATCACAAAAAATATTATAGTGAAGAAAGGAAAACGCCCTTCCGAAGTCAATATGGTACAGTATTGGAGATGTTTATCTGGAATTCTGAAAATAGTAATCGTGGGTGGACTATCTCGATGTACAATCATCTGTAGTATAGGGATAGGTCACAAATTCATTCCAATTTTATGAATATCTTAATCAGTTTCCATTTTGTGTGCCCTGGAAAGAAAATTTCAGGAAGGCTGTTGATGTATTAAAAGAAACAATACCGAACATAAAAATGAATGAAAAAGTAATTATGTGTATTGATTTGAAGAGATTAAAAATCAATAGGCTTCAATGGTGAGAGTGTTGGAAGTTAGTAGCAGGGAAGCAGGGACTCTTACTTTGAACAGTAGCTCCTGATTTTTGTAAATGATAATGCAAAGTTTTGCGGAAAGTGAACAAAAAGGAAAAGAAAAGAACAAACCAAACAAACAAAACAATAATGAGTCAAACTACAGGTGAGATAGATTTTTGATGTGCAGGATGAGATAATTTATTTCAGATCAGGTAAAAATGATATAAATTCTTGTCCGATTTTATTGATGGTCACAAAGCTTGCACAAGGCTTGTCCATCATTCCAAGAAGTAAGGGATTGGGTATCTTTGCCTCAGATTCTAAAAAAAAATCCTGGATTTTAGCTCATGCTGCAATCATAATGTTAAAACCTTTAGGTCAGTTAGGAATTCCATGACGTTTACAAGCCGATTGCCTGTCTGATTTTAAGATATTTATGGTTGGAATTTGAAAAGTCAAAAACCGTTTTCCCCAACAGTATTTATAACTGTATGGTAAAACAGGTCACTCAAAGATTTTCCTTTTTCAAGGCTCTTCATCATCATTTTGAAGTGCAATTTTTGTAGGGCTTCAATGTTACACCATATCACACACACTGATACCATCGATTTTATTGCTTAACAATGCCTTTCATAACAGATACAGACATTTGATATGTATATAACAACAAGGTTTTTTGCTATTTTGTTGTTGATGCGTTAGACATGTTCAATCATTCTTTCTGAAGAAATTCATCCTGCCTGTCATACTAATTGTTATTTTTCTTGTTTCAGAATCGATAGTGTTAGTCCGATCTATGATTGACCAAGTCATGACGCAACACCCAAACCTGAAATACTTTCACATAGGTGCTGATGAGGTGAGCATTGTTTTCAGTCACTTTTGTGTCTATTGTATCTGATTAACAAGCACAATTAAATACAGGATTGTAGAAATCCACCTATTTTTGCTTTTGTTTTGGTGGTATTATAATTCATGCAAATCATATTCATAAATATGCATTTTTAATTTGACTGACACAAATGGCGTTGAAATAAATTTTTGTGCCTATTTTCCACTCTTGAGAATGATTAAAGTGATTAAAATTTTACTGGATTGTGATTTTTATTGTATTAAATTATCCTCCTTCTTTATATTTTTCATTTAATATGGTTCCACTGTTTGAAGATGTAATGTAATTCTTTTGGTATTTATAATGAATTGTACAAAATAAAGCTGGGGAAGCCTCTCTCTTTCATCTTACTCTGTGACTAATCTATTCTATATTGTTTGTCTCTCTGTTTTTCTGTATCTGTCTGTCTCTCCCTCTTTCTCTCTCTCTCTATCTCTGTTTGTTCTGTCTATCTCTCTTTCCATCTGAATGGCTGTTTGTGCCCTTCCACTCCCTTTCTCTCCCCCCCCCCCCTCTTGTCTCTCTGTAACTCTCTCTTCCCTCCCTCTTCCCTCCCTCTTCCCTTCCTCTTCCCTCCATCTTCTCCTGCTTACCCTCGCCCTCACCCTCCAGGTATGGATGAAGAAGAGATGTGCCAGGTGCTGTGAGCGGATCAGAGACAGCTTCCATGGAGAGCCTGTTGGACTGTTTGTAAGCCACGCCAAGGCTGTGCTGCTCTACCTCAAGGAGACATATCCCCACGTCAGAGCGATCATGTGGGACGACATGCTACGCAATGCCAAGTATGACTTCATCAAAGGTGAGTCTCCTACTCGTTCATTCATTCATTTGTCTTCAAAATTTATAGTTGCATTTAATTTTCAGCATGACAAAAGGCCTGTCCTCTTCAGCTTGAGTTTGTCAAATAACCGCTATTTTAACTGTCCAGATCGCAAATTAGCCAGTTAATTTGCGTCTTCATCAGCCCGCAGTTGCAATTACATGTAGCTCTTTGGTCGAGAAAACATCCCGAGAAATCTTGGTCTCGTCTTGTGCCCGTCCGAGCTAGTTTGTGATGAGCGTATAGGTCTGGTAAAGACACAATATCGAGCTTCGGGATAATCCTGAGTCTGAAAAAAAGCGGGTTATTTGGCAAACTCCAGCTGATGAAGGCAGGCCTAATACGTATACATTTGGTTAATGGAGCCAACAAATAACAAGTTCTAGTCATGGTTGGCCCCGTTCAATACACCATAATTTAAGACAGTGAATCAATCACTAAGAGTAAGCATTGGATCGTAAGAAGTATTTTGGCTTGCACTAACTTAGGTTTATACAATTTTGTTAAGAAATATATAGGTCAAATAATTATATAACTCCAAAATATATACACTATGTATACTGAAATTATTTACACAACCTGATTGATATATTTATTTTATTTCTAACCATCGTGTACAATTTTTACAACAAATGAATCAATAACAAAATGTAATTAAATTGTATTCTTCAATAAGATGTATTTTTAATATTTGTCTTCATTCAAATTTAGAGACCAAAAAAGAAGGGCTAGTCCTTGGTCATTTGATCACTCAAAACTCATATTAGTTTCTTACACACACTTAAATGGCTTTACATCTATCACAGTTTAGAAAATGGCATTTTAAATGATGAAGAATGTACATTTTCTTTTTAGATTCCAATTTGCACGAGCTTGTTGATATCATGGTTTGGAATTACCTGGATAACTCCGAGAACTTTCACAGGAATACACCCGAGACGGTCTGGCAACTCTACGGCAAGGTCTTCGAGAATGTCTGGATCGCTTCCGCTTTCAAAGGTATGATTTTACTCTTAAGGATAAACTGCAGGAGAGACTGGTGTATTGTATTTGTTACCATGGTCCGGGATAAATGGTTACAATTCTGAAATGAAATGAAGAGGCTGGTCAGAATACGTGTTTACTGAGAAGCACCATGTGTAGAACTGATCTTTGATAACATAAACAATAAACATGCAATAACATATTCCAATAATGAGACTAAATAAACGTAATACGGATTAAATCTAGAAATGAACACAGCTAACTGGATTCATAAACTACATTGGCATCTAGGCATCTGACTGCGTAACCTTTAATCTGAACACGGCTAGCTGTAATTGTAGACCAAGGAGGACTAGCTCTCAAGGCTATTGTCTCAAAACCATAACATTTCATACAGCCTGCACTAAATAAAATTTTGTTGTGTGTCTTTTTACACGATAACCCAACTTTCTCCAATTTCCAACCTGTCTATGTTTTTTTTTGTGGAATTTTTCAAATAATTATATGAAGCCCATTTTGATGCGTGTGACAAATGGCTATTTTTGCGTCGCCGGAACAAGTTTTCATGGGTTTTAAAACATGGCTAGATTTAAGAGTGTCTATCAAGAGGGGCTGAATTTCGACATATCTGGGGTATATATATATAGATTAAATATTTCTGTAAGTTTGGACCATCAAATCTATTTAAATTAATTTTAAATAGCATTTGAAAATGGCTCTAAACTCTTCAAGAAGTCCAGGTAGACAAAGGAACATCCCTTCACTGCTTTTTTGTAAAAATGTGTAGAACAGGTGTCACATGCATATTCACCTGTTCTACACATTTTTACATAATAGCAGTGAAGGGATGTTCCTTTGTCTACCTGAGGAACTGTATATTTTGTCAGCTTTCTTTGTCCGTCATTTCATAGTGTCAGTACAGCTGTATTCATCGGATTTGCGCTCAAGCACCATCTCGCGGTCATTCTTAATATTTACATGATCGTATTCTCCAGTAAATTCTCTTTCTTCTCGTATCAAAATTGAATTAAAGGTATGTTTTTCTGATATAGAAAAATGGTTTCAAACTTTTCACTCTGATTTTTCACGACCTTTTTGAAACATACCCCCATCATTTTTAATATGAAAATAAAGCTTAAGATGTGCTCTTTCCAACCAGTGGATCTTTAAAACTCAAAGACAAATGGCGTTCAAGCGCATTGAGCTAAAACTACTGATGCAAATCGGCGATCAAATAAAAATGGTGACAAACAAAATGACACGGTACGAATTAGAGGGTAAATCACAAGCAACTGTGTCATAAGTAATTGATGGATTTTGATGAAAATGACATGACATGAAAGACAGAATCCTGAGCTTTCGAGAGACATATAATTTTATAATATTTATTTTTTCCATGATATGAAAATCTTCCTTGATAAAGAGAGAATTTGCGTGGTTGAGCTCTGCGTGTCCCCACTCAACGCAGCTCTTCTGTGATACCTAGTTATTGTCATGTCTACTGGTATAAAAAATATGGATGCAAGAAAGATGCAGTTTTGTGGATGTTTATAAATATAAAGCTTGGAGTTTTGAAATCAAATCAGAATTCACTTCGACCATCATGCATCCAGTCTTTTAGACTCTGGATAATTTAGAATTGAAGCTAACATTTCTAATATCTAAATTAGCACATACTCTTGTTAATCACCATTGGAAGTTAAACTGGACTGCTACAGTGTGATAGAATGCTCCTCTTCTAGTTAACCTACAAGATATCAGCATTTGCCTATTGAACATTTGAATATCAGTATTAGACATTGTTATTCGGACGTCGTCTTTATACATCTTCATAAACCTTAACTATTGTATTGATCACTTGGGATAAATTTTGATCTACATCAAGTTCAACTTCTGCATCTATAGACCTTGCTTATCAAACCCTTCTGGTTTCTTCTTCACCACAACTATACTGCCAGCAAACTTGTTTGAGACTTGAAATGACTATCCCGGGTTCAAGACCAAGTCAATGCGCTAGTGCCCTTTGGTACTACGCATTCAGGTAAAACAAACACACACACACACAAACATAAATTCATCAATGGAGAAAAATGTTCAGAGACCCTACTCCTTGTTCTACAATACAATTTGTTTTCTTTTTCTATTTCCAAGGTGCTTTTGGGCCATCGCTGTTCCTGACACCGGAGTTGGAACACATAAGGAACCAGGAGCTGTGGGCCGGAGACCTGTCCCGTACCATCCCCAAACACCTCGATTTCAAGGGAATAGTATTCACCGGGTGGCAGAGGTAAGCCCAAAGGGAGGCGGTGTTTTAGGTCATAGGATGAGGGAGGGAAAGAAGTAATCAAAGTAGGGGGGGGGGGAGGGAAAGAAAAGATGGAAGGGGAAAAGGAGAGAGTGAAGGGGAAAAGGAGAGAATGAAGGGAAATAAGATATAGGGAAAAGGGACAAAATATGAATTATGTACGTGACACCAAGGACAAAGACAATATATTTATTTTGTATTTTGTTGTACACCCAGGTACACCCATGAAACGGTCTTGTGTGAGCTGTTGCCCGTTGGACTGCCTTCACTTGCATTCTGTCTACAAACTTTCATGCAAGGTAAATCAATCAATCAAATATTCCATCGTGAGCATGAGTAAATAAAAGTAAGATCACTACACTGTGCTCATTTTCTGCATATCTTTCAATGTTTTGTTTTACCAAACTCTTATTTCGTTTTCCAATTGTTCTTCCGGCATTTGTTTCGCTTCAGGACCTAGATATTGGCACTCTACAAATGCCTGATTGTATTGGATCGTTGATAACTAAAGAATAGCTCTGTTGGAAGAAAATAATGCCTTTTTTTTACAATCAGATTCCTGTTAGCTAAACCATGATTATTGAAAAGCTTCCAGAATCATACGAATACAGTGAAGTTTTGTTTGTGTTTGCTCCCAGACAAAGAGATTTCTCTTTATGTTTCGATGTAATGTTTATACCTCTTCTGTTTGTGGTCTTGACAGGTCATTTTAGCGAGGAGTTACATCAAAGCATATCACAACGGTTGGGTTTCCCGGGGCTTCTAGACTTGGAGATAGAAACCAACCTGCCATTATCCGAGTATGTATTACTTTTCCTTACCGTAAATCTCTGTGTATAAGACGCACCTGTGTATAAGACGCACCCCTTTTTTTTTTCTTTTTTTTTTTTTTTTTTTTTGGCGACTGTCGGCAGCAAGCCAGGTCCGTGTTAAAAAACCCACGCGGGGAAGAACTTTCATTTAACTGTAAGGTGCAGTTGAAGGCACCGATTTGTGCTTGTGAACTTGTCACAAATAATAGTAACCAATGGGTATACCAATGTGCACATTCCCTGGTAGTTGTACATCTACATATCGTCCTTGTTTTCACGAAGTGACGGTAGCGAGGAAAACCGTCACGCAAAGTGAATGCAATTTTTTTTTCACTACCGTCACGTGAAAACAGCGACGATATATAGGACATGCTCAGGCAACAATTGCTCTTCATCACTTATTTACACTTACTGAATTCTAAACGTCAACCCTTGACTAGATACCTAACCCTAAACCTAAAACTACCCTAAAACCCAATTGCAAGCAAAATGACAAGGATAATGTATAATCAGCTAATCACTGAAGAAGACATCTACGATTGATAAACAGGGATAGTCTTATAGCATCGCTGAATTCCAGTAAAGTAACTAATCCCTTGCCCTATATTTTTGACAAAATTAGAGCATGTTTTCATTGTTAACTTTGTTTTTTTTAACAGGGTGCCTGTGGGTGTACCAATGGGTACTTTTCCTGGTTGTGAGATGTACATGTGTGCCAGGCAGCTGGCTACCATCCAGTCGTCAAGAGAGGGACAAACGTTTTTCAAGCTCACAAGGTAAGCATCTTTTCATGTTTCCTTTTATCTCAGAAGTTTTGAACTGTAAATTTGTATTTGACGCTACTTTCTAAAATAATACAGTATCGTAGCTGCCAACCATTCCTATTTTTTGGTCTTCAAGCTATTTTTTTTACCCCTAGATTTCTGTCTTTTTCTCAAAAATTCTGTGTACATACAAGGTTGGCTGGTATGCAGTATACCGGCCTTTCTTCAAAATCATGTAACTTACATTTAAGTTCCCAAATTAGTCACAAATGTATCCAATGATCAAAGGATTTGCAATTGTTTAACACCCCACTCGTATCAATAGGCCTGTCACTAGATCGACAACAAAATGATAAAGGAATTAAATTACTACTGTAACATCACGGATATCTCCAATTCCATTTAACCGCCAGTCAAAAATGGACGGTTTTCGGTTAAACGATTTAAAAAAAAACGGAATCTGCCATGGGCGGTCGGATACGGTTAAACGTTTGACTACAGCACTAAATTAAATCACCCCGAATGCCCAAGAATCAGAAGGAAGGAAGGAGATTGGAAAGACTTAGTAAGGCTTATAATAAATATAATCAAATCTACCGAAACGCTTATACATGCATTTATTACATGCCGTCTTGATCAATGCAATAGCTTTCTTTATGGCTTTCCGGACTCGCACATTGCAAAACTCTGTTGCCAGGCTTGTAACACGCACACGTTCTTGTGAACACATCACCCCAGTACTTCGCGAATTGCATTGGTTGCCGGTGACGTACCGCATTATGTACAAAATCTTAGTTTTAACTTATAAATGCATCATGAATTGGCACCAATTTATCTGCAAGAATTAATCGAGGAATACAAACCCTCACGCAGTTTACGGTCATCTTCACAATTAAACCTTGTATCTACTTCTGTGTCAACTCTTTCTTATGGTAATCGCTCCTTTCGCAAAGCTTCTGCTGAACTTTGGAACAGATTACCTTTAAATGTAAAAAACTGTCAAACTGTTAACCTATTCAAAACTAGTCTCAAGACACATTTATTCAAAATAGCGTTCAATGATTAATTAACTCTGTTCACTTTGACGTGTATTCCATATGTATTGTAATTTGTATGTTTATTTGCATTTTTAGTTTTGTATAAGATGTAATTGTATATCAGTCTATTTTGTGTGTATAGCGCTTAGAGACTTCGGTAGTAAGCGCTTTATAAGTAACGTTGTTATTATTATTATTATTATTATATTGTATCCACTTACATTGTACAAACAATTTTAAACAAGCGTAAGAAAACCAATATGTATATTTCTTGTTGGAGACTTTTCAGTACCTTTGTGGATAAAGAATTGACCGGCATAGTCTTTAGAAAAGCCTGGCTTGAATCTGTGAATGTAAAAGAAAACTCCTATAAAGTTCCATGTAAAGATATGGAAGACGACTGATTAGGGGATGAAATATTCCACTCATTGACAATTCAAAGATACCACACTACCACCTGATTAATTGCCTCTTTGTTGATTTTTTCAGTGCCTTTGTGGATAAAGAGGAAGAGGCATTGTCTTCAGAGAAACCTGGTTCGTCACTTGCCCCTCTCTCTGAAGATGAAACGGGACCAGTTCTGAGGTGAGGAGGAGATTGTGATCACGATACGATTTCTTTAATTTTATCTATAATCACATTTTTTAAAATCACATTAAAAAAAAAGGATGCTGAGAGCTGGAAGGGCGTTACCCCGTATCCTTTATATATGATTCACTCCCTCCTGGTTCTTAAAGAGGCAGAATGCTCAAGGAGAACAAAAAACTAGATTTCAGTAAACTGGGCCCCATTTCACAAAACTTGTCATCAATGACTAATGTTTTTTTTGTTAACAAGCTAATGAAATCCTTGCTTCTGATTGGTTATCAGCAGATTTGTCACTGATTTCTGACATTTGTCATTAAAAAATGCTTGTGAAATGGACCCAGTTGCCTTATATATGTGTTACCCTGGATACAGGATTCATTGAGCATCAATGTATACTGAAAACAAAAATGAGGGTCTTACTAGACAAGTGGTCTTTATATACAGGTGGAAACCATGCCGGCTTTATGGTTGATTTCATGCTATTGTGCTTCAGGATATTCCATGAAAAAATAATTGATGCGCTTTTGCTTTTGACTATATCTGTATCATCTGTTGAGAGCGAGAAAATTTATTTTACTTTTCTGAAATCTTACGATGACCCATTCTTCTTCGCTCCCTTCTCCTCGTAGCCTCCTTTCCAAGCTGACAGTCCTGAAATCGACGGCGGAGCGGGCACTTGGTGAAGTCTACCAGCCTTCCACTTCCAAGGAGTGGCTTGATCTGTGTGTCGTGCCTCTCTTGAAACGGCTGGAGAGGAGACTAGCAGCAACCAAAGCCCTGGATCAGTGATAACTCCTGGACAACAGGGTCTAGGCCTCTCTTGAAACACCTGGAGAGGAGACTGGCAGCAACCAAAGCCCTGGATCAGTGATAACTCCTGGACAACAGAGTCTAGGTATCGAGCAATAGTAGTACTTCCAAGGGCTGTCCATGCAAGCATTAAGGTATCGTGTGCGTTCGAGGATTAGGCTTCAGATGTTGATAACCGTAAACACAAAGGTATCATTGAAGATGTGTGTGTCCCTTATCCCTTTGGAGACGAGCATTATGTATTTCAGGGTTTGGCTTAGTATCTTGATTCAGAGCCTTAAAAATGTACCAGATGCATGAAAAGAACGAGCAAATGTCCATTGTTGTTGCTTGACCACATAGTGTTCGGTGCCTGGAATATTTTCTATGAAAATAAGCTCTAAAATCTTTGAATTTTCAAAATGATTGGAGGTAAATCACTGCTCTCAAACGAATTGGCATTTCGTTTATGTTTCGATGTAGCTCATAACAATGCCTACTGTTTCAGAAGCATGATGTTTCATGAGAACAATGTAGCAGTTAAAGAAAAATGCTTGACAAAGCGTTTGATGCCTGGAATATTTTTTCTAGGAAATAAGCTCTAAAACCCTTAAATTGGCAACATGCTGGGAGGTTAAATCACTGCTTTCAACCAAATTGGCATTTGTTTTATGTTTCAATATAGCTCATAACAATGCCTATTGTTTCAGAAGCATGATGTTTCATACGAACGATGTAGCAGTAAAAGATAAATGCAATTGGTGCCAATTTGACGAAGATTTGGTGATCAATGTAGCCCTTACAAAATTTGTGCCCTGAAAAAGATATGATGTGTGTTCCCCGATTCACCATCAGAGATCAAATATAATTTCTAGTTTTATGAGTTTATTATACCCAGTGTTCATATGAATCATGGAATGTCTGGAAATCTTGAATATGTTGTAAATTTACAGTTGGTTGTGCCTGTGTGTGAAGAAAGTCATAACATGCTTTTTATTTGTTTGTTTGGATGTAAATTTGTATCAGATTATTTAATTTCCATGTCGTAGGGTGCAATTTTCTGTTCAAATTGCAGACAAGTTTGAAACTGCACTGCATGTAGTGATGTGCTCTCTGCTAGCACAGGACAAATAAGCCTGCATCTTGGTACCACTTGATTATTCCTCTTAAGCAATGGCAATAGGAAATCAAAGACCACTGCTCTATCTACAGGGATGTTAGTCCTATGCTTTGAAGTATTGAATCTAGAAAAGTTGAGTGTATACACAATTAAAGGTCTAACCCACCAGCCTAACTCTGCCGCCTCGGTTCCTGGTTTCGGGAATCAGCGCGACTGGGTTGGCCTCCCACCTGGTCCGTACGGTGAGAGGTGTGGGGTTGGCTCACACAGACCACCGATTTTGATTTGGAAATAATGCAGGCTTTAAAAGGTTACCAGGGATTTAAATAACTAACTCTCTTTACTGTCTCTCTTTCTCTCTCTCTCTCTCTCTTTCTCTTTTAATAACACCAAAAAAAGTACCAGCTCAGAATTTGAATTTACGCCATAAGGATATAAAAGAATTTACTATTTGCCTTGCATGCCTCTCAAGCAGCCAATGGCCGATATGAGCTCATTGTAAGTAGCCTGGCTAGGCCGAGGCCCTACCTACATTTGTAGGGTTAGAAGCCTCGTCAAAGACAGAGTATAAAATACATAATTTTGGTTATGTGTCATTTTTAAAAAGGAGAAAACTTAGTATAATTGTTACCTTGCAACTGTCGAGGACAAATTCATAAGTAGGGAGTCAAATATTTTTGTTTAAACAACTTGCACCTGATGAGGGCACTATTCCATTGACAGCCTGTGGAGCCAGGGCCTCGAGGACATCTTCATGAGTCTGATTGTATGGTGGCGCTGGTCCCCCACCTGTATCTAAAAAGACAAAACATGGTGAATTATATTCAATTGTATCACATTTTTTCCCTAAAATATATCGAAGTGGACAAATACAGGAAAGTGATCTGAAATATCAGACACTAAAACACCAGCTTTTGAAGGCGGGTGAACATTAGCAAAGTGTTATCAATAAGAGTAACGGAAGTAAAATATTCTCTGGAATTTAACAAAAACCCACTTAAATATATAATATCTGCCAAATCAACCGTTATTCTTAGTCGCTGTGATGGATCTACTGTATATTGGTTCAATAATTGAAAGGTCTTCGTGGGTTCTCGACTACAGATATGCTCCCGGCACAACAGGAGATAAAATATTCTCTTATTAGGTGAATAGCACCGGCAACTCAACTGGCTGGGCCGGGACCGCCATGATAGAATATCAGCGGGATCAGTTGTTCCGCGTATACATTATGGGATACATTGTGACGTCAGCCACGTCACTGCGTATATAGTAGCTCATGCATATAAGACATATTACTACATCCCCCCTTTCGTACATAAAAAGTGATCCATTGTCTTAAAACCGTCATGGCACAGGTTCGCACCTGGCTGCCAGACGCGATATTACACGCTCTTTTGCCAATTAGCTTATCGTTAAATGATCTTGTAGCATGTTTGATACGTACTATCAAATACTTGTCAATTATTGAGCATATCAAACCTGGAACATGATTTGCATGTGTCTCTTGTTCGCACATATGAGCATCTAATGTACTGAACAGGTTGTTAACATTGAGGTAATCTAGACAAGTACGTTGGATGGTCTGGCCTCAAATCTTTTGACACATCGTATATCTTCCCTTCACTAGGGGCATGCCAACAAAATGCTTTCTCGGCCGCTTTGCAGATATTGTGCACTGACTGTGATGAATATTGGAGGCCACCATTGTTTTGGATTTAATTTCATATCAAGTTCTAAATAACCAGTGTATAGGCTGCTTCTGATGTACTGAGACCCCCTGGGTGCTGGTATCAGGCAGTCTGATCAATCACTGATCAAACTCCGCTACGGCGGCTCTGTTATCACGTGTAGCTCATGCAGCTATAGCTCATCACGTTCGTCACTCTGCTATCACATGGAGATAGAAAATTGGCTCGGATATCTAGTTGATACTGCATGGCCACTGTGATCACCTCAGCTCTTTGGATCACGTCGGGGTCACCAATTTGTGGTGCTGTGCATTGAACATACCAATGACCCTTCAAATGTGTAAGTGTGAAATAATTGGTCATCTTCGGAGTCGGAAAGGGAGTCGGAACTCGAATCCATCTTTTATTTGCAACTCTTGACCAACTAAGACAATATCTTTGCTTGTACCTCTCCTATTTTCCCTTCACCTCGCTTTTGTGAACAAACAGACCACATTCTTCTAACTTAACATATGTCTTCGTCCCACCGCCTCCATCAACCTGCCGTCTCAGACTTTGGAGATTGGGATTGAGAATTTCATAGCACATTAATCTCTTGATTGTTGGCCTAGGATCTTGACTGCGTGATGATGATGGATCACTTAATGAAGCTTGTCTTGTCACAGCTGATTTAAGGTTAGATGCTGTAATCATCCCTGTACGGAATTTGGTTTGCGCTTCTCCTGCACCGACTTGCTCCTGGTTGTACGTATATATATATATTTCTATCAAGATCAATTTCTCCTCCAGCTTGGATAGACTCGATTGAATGTTACTCTGTATTTCAGGTAGCTTGTTTTCTTGATTTCCGTTATTTTGTCGGAGTTGAATTGAACGCTTCTTTCTACTTTGTTGACTTTTTTTATTCGGTTGACTTGATGTAAAATGGAAGTGCAGGTCTAGGGACACGGCTTCTTGCACAAAAGGTTGCAGCTGGGAGTCCGTAAACTCGCGCTGCACCTGCTGTCTTTTGGTGCTAGGGCTCTAGGGCCTTGAGACTTGGCCAGGGCGCCGGGGCTATGGACCCGACGGCGGGCTGTAGTGCACAGTGTGCAGGCATGTCATGTATATCGATGAAAAAGGGCCCCCAAAGTAGGCCTAAACGGCCAAACCATCAATTCCACCTACTATCTAGCAAATCCCTTTCTTTTGGGGTTGTCCCATCCCCCCAAAATTGATGCTGTTTGACTGGATTGGTAACCTGTCTCTTTTTGCACAGATCCAAGGCCAAATTGAGCCTAACTAAAGGTGGCTTTTGGATTTTCCTGTCTTTCAATGTCGGCTCTCTCATTGCACGTCATGCACAACGATGAAAAAGGGCCCCCAAAGTAGGCCTATTTGTTGTTGTATAAAGATTGAGGTATAAAATAAGCTACTTACCGAAAACAGACTTTAGAAATACTAGCAGATTCCTGAAAAGCCACTGAACTTGGCTTTTGTGAATCAAAATATGAACTTTATTCATTAAAAACTAACAACTCACTAGAGTTACATCATCATTTAGACTTGTTTGGCTAGTCTATTTCAGCCTCATCTTCCTTGTCAACAGATGTACTGATATCCGGGCCTCCAACTTGGTGTTCTGCGCCTCCATCTACCAGTTCTAAATAAGAAGGCTCCACATAGAGATGAAAAACTTCACCTCACCATCACTCCAATGAGAATTGTTCACTTCTATGGTGAAAATATTAACCAAACAAAACACTCAAAATACTACTAGACTATATAACGATTGAATAAAAGGATGAGTGAACGGAGTTGAGTGAACAGATAGCGCGATGATCGAAATGCTATAAATATCATACAGGAAGAACGTGGTTTACAAACAAAAGTAAAACATAACATTTTACATCACTGGTTTTCAAACCACAACTTTCTCCTGTGCCTTATGGATGGTGACATCAACTAACATCCCGTAGCTACCAACCACCATGCTGGTCAATTTTTCCGACAACTCGCCGTTTGTTTCCAAATCGTTAAGATAAACATCATATACGGGAGAGTTCGCCTCATTCAGCATTACAGCCCTTTTCAAAAAGGCTTTTTGTGATCCTCTTGCCATTAACTCCTCAGCCACCCCAAAATGTGCATCTCTCCCCCTTTCCATCTTGGAAATTCCGATGCAAACAAGTTATAGAATACTACTACATAACTTGTCGTAGCTTTTGAAATTTGAGGGTCCACCAGTAGAGCGTCTTGTGAGCCATTGTCGTTAGATACTCGCAAACCTTTGCCAGGGTCTTCTTTAATGTGAAGGAAGACATTGCGTGGCGGTAATTTTCACAAA